TGAGAAAGAAATATTGTATAGGCTCAAATGGGCTACACAAAGGATAAAATATCACGCAAGGATGGCTTTTAGGACATGTGTTGCCAAAAGTAGAAAATGAATGCCTTGATTATCTCTATATTAAGAAAATGAATTTAAAATTTGATTTTAAATAAGATACATGCCAAGTTCTAGATTAGGCAAGGGATAAATGGCACCCACATGAAGAGAAAATTATATCACTAGGCTCAAATCCTCACTTAGTTTATATAGTCATCATCACATTGCATCCAAGTTATGCAATTCACCATTTAACTAGTCTCTGTAAGGAAAGTTGTTCTTAAGTCTATACATCTCAACGGTATCTCCTCTACACATAATTTTCACAAAGTTTTTTTTCTAAAGGAAAATGCAAAAGTCCCTTTCTCATACCAAAATTATGTGTAATTCACAAAGAAAAAGTTAGTCTAGAAAGAGTCGAACAAGTTATACATCATCCTCTCTTAACAAGAGGGGAGGGGTATGCATGGTAACCTATAACTCAAAAGCCCTTAGTTATTTTAGTAGAAGAAAGAGATGGAAAACTTCATGCTACTAAAGTGCTAGGAGGAACGAAGCCAAGATTATTGGTAAAATGAACAAATTAGCAAAGGGAGAGATGGAAGTGCATAAACATGACATGGACAAATGTCAGATGAAGCCAATTCTCGTGAAAGATGGTCCATTCAAACATTATTCATAGAACATATTACACTTTATGTATGCACTTCCATGGCAAAAGAAACCATCTTTAACCCTTCCAAGGTTTCATCCCATGGTATATGTTCTCGTGTCATGGTTAGACCTTTTTCCTTCTATCATGTAGGCTGTTGAAGCTAAGATATATTGGGGAACCTAAAAAAAAGAACAAGAAAAAGAAAAACTAGCTGCGAAAAGTATGTGGTGAGTCATATTCTTTTGTAATTTATGAATAATGCAACTTCACATGTACTTGTGATGCATATGACTAAATAAAAAAGTAATTAAAACTAGATGTAGGCCCTATATGTTGTGGAAAGTAAGTGGCGAGTCATATTTATTTACAATTTATGAATAGTGGAACTCCATATGTATTTGTGTGTGTTCTTCTCTATGTCTTGATCATATTCTTTCTTTTATGTTGTACTATGATGAATTTGTTCACTAAAGTTCAGAGAATGATTATAATCAAAGGATACATGTCTATACACTTATACACTTTTTGAAATGACAAATTTACTTTGAAAGTTTTTCACCTAATGCAACTACTACTCTTAACTTTTTATTAGTGCAATATCAACCTGAAAGTAAAATGATGCAATTTTGCCTTAAATTAATGTTTGACCAATATTGATCTTTAGTTAAAAATTTTGACCAGAGTTAAAGAGCAATTTTACTTTGAAATTTTTTTGTAAAGGAGAAACTAGCATCCTATATTTTCTATTAACGCAATATTTTTAGGTTGTTAACGTTCAAATCAAAAGAAAAATCTAACAATCTACTATTAGTGTTGAAAATGCACTTCTAGAAAACAAGCAATTTGCAATGGAAATTGACCTTGATTTGTTATGGAATTTTTGTCTTGAACACTATTTGTGACAGAAATTGTTTCCGACATGAAATCAACTCTACCACAAGCACTTTATAAACTCTCTTGAAGTCTAGACTTGCCCTTATTTTGCCTATAAGTAATACTCAGCTTGTATAGGCTAAAGTATAGACTTGTTCACACTTGTGAGCAACATAAACTTGCTTCCAGGATTTTTGACTTGGAGGAATTAATATAATTCAACCTAAAATCCTCTTCTAAACATGCCCACTATTTATAGGCCACAAGTCCTTAAATTTCATTACAAAATTTACATACAAAGAATAAATCTATATAATTGTAGAATATATAATATATGTATAAATTATGGAAAACTACCAAGAGGCTTTTCATGTTATAAGTTATCTAGTTTTAATTAGAGAATTTTAAAGAACAACTCTTGAAAGGTTATGGACATCCACACTTAGAATTACAATATTTATAGTACTTCTACAATTAAAGCCCTAAGAACTTGCTTCAAGAAAGAGGTAATCAATATAACCAACAACAAGATCAGAAGTGTGAAATGTCTCTCTATTATATTTGTTAAGAAGAGCATCAAGTTCAAATCTCTTTAGCAAATTAGGATTCTTCAAGAACAACCATCCACAAGCAACAAGATTCGCACTATCCTCTGCCACTATGATGTTGCCATCTTTTTGATCATAACCTCTTGCGACGATATGCATGCTGTTAAAGGCCCTTCTCTTTGGCACAAGACTATGTTGGCTCTCAACTTTCTTCAATAGTCTTCATTCTTGGTTCTACCATGTGGCAATACAAAATATCATATTAGTTTAGAAAATTTTTCATGTGTAGGCCAAGTTCTTGAGGATTAGAGTCTTCACATTCATAATAATTTGAAAAAGGAGATAATTTGATTTCAAAACTCTCTGCTCCTACTTTAATAGTAATTGCTTTAATGACTTTCAATGGAAATTGGCAACGATTCTCTAATGATCCATCATTTTATTTGTTCGATCATTAACCTTATTTTTTTTATTTCATCAAGATAGTCATGCTTGTAGTGAAAGCATAGATTTTGATGGGGTTGAGATACATAGGGCCCACAATTACCTTCTTGACCAATTTATAAAAAAATAAGGTCAATGATCAAATAAATAAATATAGTGAATCAATAGAGAATTGTTGTCGATTTCTATTGAAAGTCGTTAAAGCAATTATTAGTGACATAAGAGCAGAGAGTTTTGGAATCAAATTATCTCCTTTTTTAAATTATTGTGAATGTGAAGACTCCAATCCTCAAGAACTTGGCCTACACATGAAAAATTTCCTAAACCAATATGGTATTTTGTATTGCCACATGGTAGAGCCAAGAATGAAGACTATTGGAGAAAAAGTTGAGAGCCAACATAGTCTTGTGCCAAAGAGAAGGGCCTTCAGCAACACACATATCATCATATGAGGTTATGATTGAAAAGATGGAAAAATCGTGGCGGCAGAGGATAGTATAAATCTTGTCACCTATGGATAGTTGTTCTTGGGGAATCCTAATTTGCTAGAGAGGTTTGAACTTGATGCTCCTCTTAACAAATACAATAGAAGGATATTTCACACTTCTGATCCTGTTGTTGGTTATATTGATTATCCATTTCTTGAAGCGAGTTCTTAGGGCTTTAATCATAGAAGTGCTATAAGCATTGTAATTTTAAGTATAGATATCTATAACCTTTCAAGAGTTGTTCTTTAGAATTCTCCAATTAAAGCTAGATAACCTACAACATGAATAACTTCTTGGTAGTTTTCCATGATTTATACATATGTTATATATTCTATAATTATGTAGATTTATTCTTTGTATATAAATCTTGTAATGAAATTTAAGGACTTGCGGCCTATAATAGTAGGGATGTACCAAGTGATGGTAAGCTTAAAGTGAATGAGAATCTATCTCTATTATATTTTCTATTCCTAATTCTTTCTTATCTTTTTCATTTCTCTCATCTCAATCTCTTACATTCTTCTTATTTTTTATAATACGTATTAGCACGATGCTCTACCTAATCAACATAAAGCATGAACCCTAAGAAGTTTGTTGTTGATCATTTGTTGATTCTTCTTAGCCACATGGAAAAATAATAGTTCAGCAAAGTAACTAGCGTACTTACATTATGGAAGTCCTGAAGACTATTGAACATATTTATTTTGTTATGATCATATCACATATGGCCAATGCCCAAATCAAGAATTTAAAAGCAACAATGTTTTGTTACGTATATCAAAATAGTGATATTTTTTCCGTGGTTATTAAAATCATGAGCAATGGTTAAAATATGGCTAGAAGCCATTCAAGCAAATGGATATCAATTTATTGAAAGTAAGTGCAAAAGTGGTTATAGAGCCAAAAAGAATTATGACATATTAAAAAAATATATATATATATATATACACACACCAAAAGTGGTATGAAATTAAATAGACCAAATAAAAGCAATTATCGGTCATATTAGTATTATCATATCATGATATTAATATAGTTTCAAATTTAACTAATCCATTAAATATTAATTTAACTAAGTAAACTACTCTATGTATTTTGATAGACTCAAGGTTTGGTTTGTAGTTTGACAAAAATTAATTTAATAAAACCCTCATCAATCTAGTAATAGAAGTTATTTATTGTAACAAAAATTATGTTTGAATACATTTTTTTAAAAGTTAAGTTGATGATAAACTAAAAGTTATTTGGGTAATAAATAAAAAGAATACTTTTAATTGTGCAATTACAGAGAGATATTTATTATTGTTTAACTTCCTAAAGAGTAGAGAGCAATTTATTATGATAATTCATTACAAATAATGGCAAAATTGAAAAGTTACATACTAGTTAACAACTATTAGGATATAATTATCATTTCTTAATATAAATACATAGGATATGCGCTTTTAAATCTTAAGAGCCATAATAATCTATTGAAACATGTCAAAATTATCATGCTTTGAATTGCAGAAAGTGATGCTTTAACTAGGGACCTAGTTTGGGTGCTGCATTCAGATTTTAATCTAGGTTATGGATAGTTCAGATTTTAAGTATTACTATATATTATAGTTATTAAAATAAAAATTTATAAAAATTATAAAATAATTTTAATAAATTTTTTATTTTTACAATGATTTAGATTTAATTTGAAAGGTTTAATTTAATATTAAAATTTTTTAATTACTATATATTGATTATCCAGATGCACTCTAAACAATTCATATTTAATCTATTGGACACTTCAAATTAAATCTAAACTTTATTAAAAATAAAAAATTTATTAAAATTATTTTATCATTTTTATAAATTTTATTTTAATAAATACAAAATAAAAATATTTAATAATATTTTAAATTTGAATCATCAGAATCTCATTGCTAATAGTCATGGCAGTGATGATGAGCATCTAAACTTGGTCCTTTAACCAGTGTGAAAAGAGTATTTTGTAACAGTGAAGCTGAGAAAGTACCTGAACTTGAAATCCTTCCACCGTGCCAAATCTGACAAAAGAAGATACCACCTTTGTCATGAACAGTATCCACAATTGCTTTCCATGATTCGACTTGCTTGTTCGTCCATGTCCCTGGTGTTCTATGACACCTTAATTTTGAAAATGCAACAAAAAATAATAATAATGAGAAACGTAACACATTTTATTGTGAAACTTATTGACAAAAATTAACGTGAAGAATTAACGAAATTAAAAATAATTACACTCGAGCAGTGTTAGAAACAGCGACAACTTCAGCAATGAGAAGACCCCCTTTGGAAGTTGATCGTTGAGAGTAACATGAGATAGCATGTGCTGAGGATCGTCATTATAAAATATGTGTCTACTACCTAGTCCATGGGGCCCACACAACTCTGCTTGCAAAAATTAATGAACTGTACATCAGATAAAATAACAAAAAGCAAGAAAAAAGTTATATCAAAGACTTAAAAGTAACAAAAGCTTGAAGAGTATGGTCAACTAAGTTTCCAATGCTCTCAAGAAAAGAGTCAACAATGTGAGCTGCATCAACAAAGATTCATTACGATGGATTCTTGCTTCCCATGATTTCCAGCATATGATGCTAGATCCCACTTTCGAAGAGATGTCAAGCCTGGCAGATCTGAGGAGATTGACTAACCAGGACTCCACCTTTTCCTTGCAAATTCAGTGCATAGATCGTTAGGCGGCACGTTTTTCCACACAGAGGCAGCAAATGAGCAATCCTTAAAAACATGGTTGATATCTTCTGCTAGATCATGATAAATGGAGCATTGTTGGTCTTGGGTCATCTTTCTACGGAAGTTCTCAGAGTTGGCAAGAAGCCATCCCTTTAGCATTAACCAGAGGAAGGTTTTAACTCTGAGGAACAGGGAGCTTCCAAACATAATTCAAATCATCTGTGAGTGAGATTTGCGGTTTGTCTTTTTATTAAGGAAGAAAGAGGAGATTTTAATTTTTATAAAACAATAATGAAATGATGAAAATACTAAACCAGAATCAGAATCAGCTAGATAGATCAAATTCAAGGATGTAAAACAAAATCAACTTTTCAGATGTAAAATCAAGGGGGTAGAGCGAGCTGATTTAAATTCAATTCAGGGGGTCACCTATTTGCCAAATGTAAACCAGAATCAGAGAGACAGAGAACTAGAGGCACCTGAAAGCTGAAGCAGAGACTTGAATCGCGAGTTGATGGAGTTAGAGAGCAAGCACCTTAATCACGAACACTATGAGGGAGGAGAGGCTGAGAATCTGAGTGCATTGTCCAGATCACCGTCGCCGAGATCACCGCGATTCCTAGCCTACATCAACTTTAGAGTGAAGAACTTACACAGACAAAGAATGAAGAGGGTGACGGGAGAGGCTTGTCTTGGGGTTCTGTTATGGGCTTATGACTTAATAGATGAAACTGGGACACTCAACTTTTAAGTCTCTCTAAAACATTGAATGATTCCAAGCTTGTTTGGTGAATGTAATAAATAAATCGGACAAGCTTTCTGTTTGTCCCTCCAGCATGCTTTAGAAACTGATTGATGGTCCTTTGATTCATGCATAAATCGTCTCGGAAGAAGACGGTCTAAGCGTGGCAGACTGTAAAAAGATGTGCAGCTCTGATGTTGAGAATTCACCAAAAAGAAGAAAAAGAGTGTGAGAGTGAGAAAATCACTTGACTATAATAATACAAGTATAACTTATTTACCCCTCTCATGAGAATGAAAATAAAGTGTGATAAAAAAGATGCTCCGTCAAACTACACGGCTGGGGCAGTGTGCCCCGAAAAGTCCAAAAGCTGTCTCTTTCGTGTTCTGTTTAAATAATTATATGGTTATCAACCACATCAAATTTAATTAAAAATTAAAAATAAATTAAAATAAATACCTCTTATATATAGAGATAAAATAATATAAAAAATTAAATAAAAAATTTTAAAAATAATATTCTACTCAAAATTAAATAGATTGATTTTATTTTATATAATATAATGATGATATTTTTTTAATATTCTTAAAACTAAAAAATATAATTTATCCAAAAGATATTGAAAGCTTTAAATCAATGGGGGGAAATGATTTTAAGGTAGTGGTCTAACAATGACTAAATTGAGATTAATTTGATCATACTTAAAATAATATAATTTAATTAAAATATATAAAATATTTTTATAAAACTATGATAAGATCAATATTTAAACAACTAAAACATTGATTTACAAGAAACAAAAACATTCATGAATAAATCATACATAATCCAGCAAAACGATAACAGAGTTCTTTAAGTACAAAGTTGATAAGTTATTATTTCTTTTATTTTCTAAAGTCAAAATAATGTTCTATGTTTAACAAAGTTACTTAAAAATTAAAATTGGTTCCAAAAAAGATAAGAAAATATTTATAAGGGTTAAGGGTTATTTTTATCTTTAAAATGTACATAAAAAGTCACAAATAATCTTAAATTTAATTATGAGTCAATTCTATCTCTCAATTTTAAAAGTTTTTCTCGTCATCACATTGACGTTAGAAACACATAACATTCGTGGGTCCTACTATTTTTTTTAAATTTGTGTATCAGGTTAAGTGTCATTTTTACCTCTCAATTTCTATTCAAAAGGTCAGTAGATACCTTTAACTCAAATATTTTATAATAAAAATATTAAAAATATAATGTGGAGCCCACTAACAATCAACTAACAATGAGAAAATGGCAGGATGATGGGGAGGGAATCTTTGAAAGTTGAGAGGCAGAATTAACTCATAATTAAGTTTAGGGTCATTTGTAACATTTCGTGCATAATTAAGAACTCTATTTTTAAAAAGCTCCAAGTATTTGAGCTAACTTAAATGAGTTTAAAGGTGTTAAAGCTGGATTTAGTTATATGGACTTGTTATATAAAATAAGACACTTTAAAATCAATCCAAATAAATCATCCGAATTGAACCCGATGCATTAGAATTATGGGCATTAGGTAAAAGTAAGAAAAATAATTAAGTAGGGGTGGTTTGTTGTCATCTAGTGAGGGGAGAAAAGTCAGGTGAAATAATGATGACATGTAATAATGAAGGAAAAGAGGGAGAGCATTGAATCTCAACTTTGGAGAGACTTGAAAGCAAAGTGTCCCTATTTCCTATATAAAAGGACGAAGAGGCTTGTCTTGGGGTTCTGTTATGGCTTAATATATTATGTAGAAAACTGGGACACTTTGCTTTCAAGTCTATCCAAAGTTGAGATTTAATGCTCTCCCTCTTCTCTTTTATCAATACATGTTGTCAATCACCATTTCACCTAACTCCTTTCCTCTCACCAAAGACAACAAACCACCCCTGCTTAATTATTTTTCTCACTTGTAACCCATCCACAAATCACTTAATTAATAAATTTACTTACATGTGACATTCTGCTGGTTAACGCACAGCAGAGAAAATATCTTAGCTTGTTACATGTGATCATGAGGGCTTAGCTTCTTGATTCCTAGCCTAAAGATCGAGCCCGGCCAGCTTCAGGATGGTTATGAGTTTTTAGGTATATGATGTGTGTGTGTGTGTCTGCATGGCTGATAATGTGTGGTTGGGCTACGTGTCAATTTTCTTATGGTTTTGGTTAGGCAGTGTATGGGAAAATTTCTTTGTCCTGGGGATGTAAATGCAACTAGGCAAGTTGATCATGCAGGCACATCCATTGCTAGGTTGGCATTCCTTTTACATGAAAAGAGAGGGCTAGTAATTCAGACGTATGTCCCACGTTTTTATTTCTCTTTTACGGTCTCTCATTATTCATTCTCCAAGTATTTCCACCCTCAGAAATTTTCTGAAGGAGCAGCACCTGAATAAGGAGTGCAGAATAACATTATTTAAAAGTTAATAAGTTAAAAATAATATTTAATTATTTAAAATTATTTATATTAGGCAGAAAATATAATAGCAAATAAAATTATCATATATTTATTTAAGAAAAATATATTGAAATTAATTTTGTTAAAAATATGTTGAAAAGATGGATATAGAGTTCAAATTTAAACCTTCAATTTTTTTTATTAAATCTAAAAAGTGCACAATACTATAAAAATATGAAATATAAGGTTGTAAATTTTCTTTGCTATGTATACAATTTTTCTCACGTGACACGTACGTGGCTCCATCAGTGACATAAAATAACGTTCGGCACGACTCATAAAGTATCTCCCCAGTAGCGTTTCTTAGCCACATATTTATCTTTTCCTTTGCCCGTCCACATTTCGCAGTATAGCTTGGAGCAAATCATGAACTAAGCTGCGCCATGTACATGTAAGACAGAAATAATGAACAGCATTGCTCCCACGTCATTAACACCATTAGGGCGCACAGTAAACGTATATAGGACCCATTTCTCCGGAGGAATGAAGAAAAGTTTGTAGCTCAAACATACAAGAGAAGAGAGCTGACTCCTGACCCCATTCAATCAAAAAGAGACGGGTGGAGGAGTATTGCATTAACATTTTTATTTTTAAAAATACAATTAGTCTATTAAAATATTATTTATTTTGTTACCATTTACTCTTTGTTCATTGGGGGAAAAACTCATGGTTATGAAAGCATTTAAATCAAACATCAATACATCATTCGCTTTTTTTATAATCTATAGTGCATTGATACTTTAAATTACCTTATGTATTTATATCTTATTCAATACCAATACTTGTTGATTTTTTTTTATATGTATCTGTAAAGTATTGGGACGTTATTTTTTAACTTAAAAAAATAAAATTTTTGATACGTATTTAATACTTTTAGATTATGAGTACTTTAAGAAAATTTTTAAAAAACGAAATTTTTTTAAAGATTACAAAATTAAAATTTAAAGACATTAGTGGAGATGAATAGCATCAATGCCTTGATGGTGTTGGAATTTTGAAAGCAACAAATTTATCTCTTGATAAACTAACTATAAAAACTATCTTTTTTGTAGATGATAGTCGAGAAAGAGAATATATTAATACTATACCTATTAGAAGGGAATTGATATTACTATAAATGACTATATATATATGCTAATTTGGATATTTTCTAGATTAAAATTATATTTTTTTAATATTATAATGTTTTATCAATACATATATACACACGTATTGAAAACGCGTCATATTCTATATTTTTTAAAATAAAAATATCGAGATATTGGATATGTATTGCATTCGGTAGCATTGTGAACATTTAAGTAGCACTAGTATTGTATAACTTTGACTTGATGGCATTTATCCTTCAAAGGAGGAACTATTGGCGTAGAACATTGACCTTGTGTCCCATCCGTTGCTTTTGGCTATTTATCTGTCCTTTTAAGAATTTAATAGAACAGTAATTGCTTTATACTACTTATTATTCCATCCATTTACAAGGTATATTTTTTAGTAAGATCAAATGTTCAAAAATGTAAGATATTTTTAAATTTTTAATGTGTGATTAATAATTTTTTTAAAAATATGCTTAATAAAAAAATCACTCAACCCTTTCACCTTTAAATAAGATATCCTATTAAATAATGGTAGACATGGAAAGATGGTGACAACTTAAAGACAATTAATTAATTTTTTTTGGGTGTATAATTCAGCGAAAAATGCCATATATATGTGTGTGTGTATTATTAAAAGAGTAATTATTACTAAAATATATCATATGGGTATATTGGAAAATTAAAAAAATCTGATACAATAACTATACTCCATCTCATCCAGATATAAGATAATAATCTCTATCCGCCTATGCAGAACACTAGTTTTTTTTTCTTTTAACGAATGTTCTCATTAGTTGTATTTTAGAAGGATATTAATTTTTCTTGGCCAACAGAGAAATTCAGTCCATTCACATTCAAGATTCAACAAAACCAGTGGCTATAACAATTGTAGAAAGATATTAGAGTGAAGAACTTATACAAACAAAGAACCAGTGTTAAAAACACTTTATAGAGACAAAATATGTTATAAAAATATGTATATTTAATAGGAGTACAGCTGACAACATTTTAAATTTTTAGATAAAATTAATGAGTTTTAATGTTTCCTTTGATTCTGATATTTAACTAATTATTTGAGTCTAACTTTGCCAAATAATATAGAGTAAGAGATTTTTAATATAATAAGAGATCAATATAATTATATTTATTTATTTTTCTTAAAATTTTATAAAGTTTAACACAATATTTTTAAATTATATATTTACTTAATTATTTGAATTTTTTAACATAATTACAAATAAAAATTAAATATTTTAAAATATTTAACAGAACATTTCTAATAGTGTTTGAAATTAGACTAAAGTGTAAGTTTTGAAAAAAAATTGTAATTTTAGTAAAATGAAAGGAAAGTTATACTCTCTCTATTTAAAAATATAATACATCTTTAATCAGATCTTACGTCCCAATAAAGTAATTACTTATCTTCAAAATAATCATATTTTTTCATATTTGCGCCTACTTAACAAGGTGTTTGATTCTAAAACAAATATATAAAGTAATTTATTTAATAGGGACACTTTTAAAAAATGATAATGATTGCATCTTAAAAAATTAAAAATGTCTTACATTTTTTAATATTCAACCCTTTAAAAAGTATTTTATATTTTTTAACATGGAGATTATATTGTAATCTACTCTAAACAAAAGTTCGAATTCTGCAAAAGAAAATATGCCGTTTTATGTGAGCGTAGATAGAGATAAGAAAACAAGATAATTACATATAATGATATCATGAATATGTCTGTACTGTACGTCTCATATATTTCTATCGACCATCATTAGTGTTGGTCTTTAGAGATAGAGGAGAGAGAGAGCCAAGGACAAACAAACCACATGGATAGAGATAAACGGGTGCTAGATCTGTGAGCAAAGTAATTGGGGAGCATTGAAGGGAGTACGGAGTTTCAACTTTAGAGAGACTTAAAAGCAAGTGTCCCAATTTCCTATATTAAGCCATAACAGAACCCCAAGACAAGCCTCTTCCTTCTTGGTCTGTATAAGCTCTTCACTCCAAAGTTGAAGTTTGGTACACTCCCCCTCTTCTCTTTTATGATTTTATCATTACATGTCGACACCATTTCAATCTTCACCAAACTCTTCCCCCTCACTAAATGTCAACGAACTTTCTTGTGGTTTTGGTTAGGCTGTGCATGGGCAAATTTCTGTCTTGGGGATGTAAATGCAAGTTGATCATGCACGGCCGTGCAGTGCTGGTTTGTCATTCCATTTATATGAAAACAAAGGACTAGTAATTCAAACGTATCTCCCACGTTTTTATTTCTCTTTTACGAACTCTCATTATTCATTCTCCAAGTATTTCCAGCCTCAGAAAAAAACAAAATGCATGATTCATGAAGTATCTCCCCGCGAGTGTTTCCTAGCCACATACTTTTCTTTTCCTTTATCCGTCCTCATGATCTAAACCCCAATTTCTGCAGGTCATCACAAAGAATTGTTTCATAAATCTTTGTTTAATTTGGTTGAGTGGTGGTACGTCGTCGACATTTCGCAGTATAGCTTGCAGCAAATCATGAACAAAGCTGGTCTACGTACATGTAAGACAAAGATAATCATTGAAATGTTGAAAAGATTTGCTATATTAAGACCACACCTGCCACGGAGAATATACAAACCAGTTCACGATGAATGGCTTTCAAACTCGCATCATCTGATTTGCTATATAAAAAGAAGACAATATGCAGATAATACAAGTTCCTATTACACAACCCATGCCGATCGACGTAGTTCTTAAAATGTGTGTGTGTGGGGTAGCAAGGCAAAACACCAAACGAAAGAGATACTTTTTTAATATATATGATTTATCATATATTATGTATATATATTATCCAACTACGCATGCACATTACATATATAAGCCTAATCAAACATGCTGAGACGAAAGACATACTTTTTTAATATATATTTTATTATGTATAATAATAATAATTAGTTTAATTAATCCCCGTTGAGTATTTGCATATCAGACCAGAGATCCTCCGTACTCCAATAGTTAGTCTCGTGACTGGTGCAAATTAAATGGAGGACTGATGGAGCACGGTGGAAAATGGATGCGTTGGAAAGGGCTGTCCATGAGAGTAGCTTGATTAAAGGAGGACGGAGAGTGAGTGTCCATTCGCTGAGAATCAGCCATGGTGTTGGACACGTGGCTGCTGCTGGGTTGCTGATGATCTGCTGTCTCAGAACTTAGCTGAGGATGTTGTTGTTGCAAGCAGTTCTCTGCCTGCTTAATGTGCTTCTGAATCCTAGTCCTCCATTGTGTATAGGCGTGTTTCAAATATCAACAACATTAAGTTATGGTATATGCGTATATGATTAGTGACTGATTAGGGTTTCAAAATATTGCACAGTGTGATTGGAGCTTTGCTGATAGTGTGTGGTCTGTGGCGAATGCGTGGTGCTGTGGGGGAAGAAGAAGGAAATGAGGATGATGAGTCGGTGCCATCAGAAATGACCCCACAAGAACTTGATGGACATCCTTAAAGTGATGCCATCTACAAGGGTCCTGCATGGAGATTCTAATTTTAAAAATTCCATAAAATGTACAAATGATTCTAAATTCTCATGGACTCTGATTGTGACAAATTTTTAGTGAACATTTACTAATTTTTTTAAAATAAAAATTATCTTCTCATGGTCACCGGCAACTAAATTATTGGAGAGTTGGTCATGATAGGATTTGAATTTTGAAGACGATAGGCTTTTGAACCCATTTGTTAGACAAATATATATGCACACAAAATATTTTTTATATATATATATATGTAAGAATTTAATATCAATTACAAAATATTAGTAGTCAATCTCCTATATGTTAAAATTGTCAATTCTAATATGTTAGATGTAATTGTAAATGGGATATTAACAATTTTAGCATAAGGAATTGACAATTTTAGCTGAAGTTGTCACTTGCAGATAAGTTTATCGAAATTAGTTGTTTCGCGCTAAAGTTGTGAATTCTTATTTTAAAGTTAATTAATATTCCATTGACAATTGTCTCATAAGAATGGACAAATTGAGCATAACATATCGATTAGTTGTCAATTTCCTATGCTAAAGTTGTCCTTTTTTTTTTTTTACCAACTACTGCTAAAGTTATCATGACTTCCTTATATTAAAGTTGTTAACATCCACTTGATAACTGACATATTAGAATTGACAATTTCAACATAAGAGATTGACAACTAGTGTGTAGGAAATTGACTAATAGTAATTTGTAATTAACATTAAATTTTTATATATATATATATATATATAATATTTTCCAAATATTTAAGTAATTCAACAAATGGTTCAATGGTCTGCTGGTGGCATGATTTTTTGGAATCCTTCCGTCCTCAAATCCTACCATGACCAACTCTCCAATAGTTTGCTTTCTAGGATTTTGGATCCTTCAGAGGCTCTTCTTCTTAGGCAAACTACAAGCATTGCAGGTACGATTCCTTCCTCATTCCTCATCTTTTTCCCCGTCTTTAACCCTTCTGAATCGAGCTATTTTCGTCTGGCTTTTATTTAGTTTCTGTCTCATGTACTATTGCAAGTGTCTTGATATTTTCTCTGACTTTTCATTTTCTTCTCATTGTCTGAATAATTTAGGATGATAAAGTTTCTTGATATTTTTACTTGTGTATTTATGTAAGTTTTACATTGGTACCTTTGTGCCTTTAATTTTATATTTAAATTTAATATAAATATTTAACAGGGTCATATGGATAGGATAGAATCTGCACGTTGCTTTTCCCTGTGAAAAGTGTATTCGTTTTGTTTCCGTTTCTTCTTCTTGAATTATTTAATTTTATAATTGAACTGAACTGCAGTCTTCATATACGAGGTGTAGAAAGTGGTTACATTTTTTGGTAAAAAAAAAAAAAATGTTTCTACACAGGGTTTTCTTTTCCTCGTGTCCCTCCCCTCGCGCTGCCCACTCTTCTCTTTTCTCTAGCTTTGCTTCCTCACGCTACTGAGGAACTGAAGCCACGCCGCCATCGAGCACTAGTTTCGGTTCGAAGTCACTGTCCGTCCGCGTCGATCTCAGCCTTGCCATCCGGATCCGTAAGTCTGCCATTTTGTTGATCTCGTTCGTGCATCCAGTCTCTTTTTGTTCCTACCCATAGATGCTACTTAGCTGTTCGGCATCCCAGATTTGGAACCTTAATTTATTTTAGATCTGCTCTTTCCCTTTTATTAGCGTACTCAGTCTTTGTTTTTAGAACCAATCTAATGACTACTGGCTTTCGATTTCCTTAACTGACTTCATATTTGATCGAGAAGCTTCTCTCTGTCTTTGAATACTTTCTCTCAAATCGTTGTTTTTGCTGTCAAATTCACTCTCACAATCCTTGTTTTTGTGGCAGAAATTTGTGTTGTGTTTTGGTAAACGATTGGTCGAGAATGATGAATTTGAATGTTCCCGTTTTGTGTATAATTTGTGCACAGTGCTACTTTTTCTTTAACCTCTTCAAATATCAAATTGAATATGACTTTTGTTTTAATTGAATATGACTTTTGTTTTTGTGCATAACTCGATCTACATCCAGTTTTGTTTTTGTGGCAGACATTGAATATGGCTTTTAGGAAATCATTGTTAATTTTTTTTTTCATTGACTGTATTTAAATATTGACTCCTCGTTTTTTACTTATGTAATGCAATCATTAAAATACCACACTGCTTTAGCGATGCTTTGATTGCTTTCCATGCACCCATATCACGTGATAGCCTTAGTAATTGCTCTTACTCAATGCAGTACAACATTGCACTATAATCATTGCTCTAACCTTGTTTTATTGGTTTGACTTTTAGGAAGGGACAATGATGCAGATAACTCATCAATTTTTTTAGGAGATGAGGCTTCCTTTCAGAAAAAAGAAACAGAGTTGGCCAAAAGATAAGTATTTGTTAAGAACAAGTTTATTATAATTCAAAACAAGTTTCCTGAATTAGTTTACATGTGTGAAGCTTCCTACTGCTTTTGAATTGTTTTAGGAGTCATTACGACATGCCATAAGGAGTCCTGATATATATGAAACATTATTACATGCTGTAATGATTAGGTCCCCCTCTCATATATATCAATCAAAGTTTAATGCTAGGTGTCTTGGTACTGCCAAATGGGGTCAATTTGAGTCTGCTGCATATGCCTTGTATGGTTGAGCTTGACTTGATTGTAGAAATTAATAAATTTATCAAAACAAATAATTAAACGATTGAACAATCTTATAGTGGTTATTGAATTTAAAATATATATTAATTTAGGATCAAGATGGATGATCCATTTGGTTTTTATATTGTTGATTAATGATTCCAGTTTGCAGACCAAGAACGTCGTTAATCAACACAATTGAATCCAAAATTTTCTTATTTTAATAATAAAGTATGGTTGGTGAGAGATTTGGGTTCAAACTCAATATGATATAATATATTTGTATGTGGAATAGGTCCAGTTGCCTTTTTATTTGAAAACTGTAGCTGAACGTGGAAGCAAGGAATCTCTCATTTGACAGCCTTATTCATTTTTCTTTTTTTGTTGTTGTATTGTTGTCTTTACAAATGGTGTAAGTGAACTTTCTACACTGGTTATTGAACCAAGGGTGGAGCCAAGATTTAAGAATAAAGGGGGCCAAAATTAAAAAACATATATACTACAAAGTTTTTATAAATTTGAAGGGGCTGGAAGTATGTGACACCTATATAATACAAGGAAAATTTTTAAAACTTGGGGGGCCATCGCTCCTACTAGTCCCACTTCCCTCTGCCAGTGATTGAACCAGTGTAAAAAATCCACTTTTTACACTAGTTGCAAAACTGGTGAAAAAGTCAAGACTTATTCCACTCTCTCTTTCTATACCGGTTCCAGAACCAGTGTTTTTTGTGGTAATGAATAATTAAGGAGGGGTGGTTTGTTGTCATTTAGTGAGGGAAGAAGAGTTAGTTGAAATGGTGATGACATGTAATAATAAAAGGAAAGAGGAGGAGCATTTAAGGGTGTATGGTGTATGGAACTTCAACTTTAGAGAGACTTAGAAGTAAAGTATCCTAGTTTCCTATATTAAGCCATAACAGAAACCCAAGACAAGCCTCACCCTCCTTTTTTTTTTTTTTGTCTTTTTGTTTTTGGTACAAGCTCTTCACTCTGAAGTTGAAGTTCAATACACCCATTAATACTCTCTCTCTTCTCTTCTATTATTACATGTCGTCATCATTTTACCTAACTCTTTCTCCCTCACTAAATGACAAGTTGACAACAAACCACCTGGCTGCTTAATTATTTTTCTCACTTTTACCCCATCCATAAATCACTTAATTAATATTTGTATTTGCACATAAAATTTTGCTGGTTAATGTACAGCCGAGAAAGTATCTTAGCTTGTTACATGTGATCATGAGGGCTTAGCTTCTTGATTCCTAGCCTACAGGATGAGTCCGGCCAGATTCAGGATATGTATGAGTTTTGAGGTATATGGGGGGTGTGTGTGTGTGTGTGCATGTCTGATAATGTGTGGTTGGGCTACATGTCAATTTTTTTCTGGTTTTGGTTGGGCAGTGTATGGGCAAATTTCTGTCTTGGGGATGTAAATGCAATTATGCAAGTTGATCATGCACGTTCATTGATTGCTGGGTTGTCATTCCATTTATATAAAGCGAGACGACTGGTAATTCAAACATATGCACTGCTGGCTTTCGATCTACCACACATGCTAAAGCTTATTTAATTAAAACCTAGTTCGGCAATGCTTAGTCACTCTGAACTATCTACATTTTCCTCGCTCGCTGTGTTTTGTACTCTCTTGCTGTCTCTTCGGTCACGCTGCTCGTCACCATGGTTCCTCGTTTGGCAACGCAGTTCGCCCCAGTATGCTTTCCTGTAGTCTCTCACTCTTTCCCTTCTTCGTTTCCCACCTCTCATCAAATTCCTTGATTCTTCTTCTCTTAATCTGTTTTTTAACTGCGTATTGCTTTTGTCTTCCAGGATTCGCTTTCGTTATATTCTAACCTCGATTCATGTTCCTTCCCCTCTTTTCTATACGTATGTATGCCTAATTCTGTTTATGTAATCTGGAGTAACTCAACTTTGTTTTTAACATCTTTCTAGGGTTCTGGATCCTCTGGAGGCTTCTTCTTAGGCAAACCGCAAGCATTGTAGGTATGATTCCTTCCTCATTCCTCATCTTCCCCGCTTTTTAACCCTTTGGAACCAAGCTATTTTCGTCTGGCTTTTATTTATTTCCTGTCTCATGTACTATTGCAAGTTTCTTGATATTTTCTCTACCTTGTCATTTTCTTCTTATTGTCTGTATAATTTAGGCTGATAAAGTTTCTTGATATTTTTACTTGTTTATTTATATAAGTTTTAAATTTCTACCTTTGCGCCTTTAATTTTATATTTATATTTAATGTAAATATTTAATAGGGTCATATGGACAGGATGGAATCTGCAGGTTGCCTTTCCTTGTGAAAAGTGTATTTCTTTTGTTTCCGTTTCTTCTTCTTGAATTATTTAATTTTATAGCTTTCTTAAAAAATAAAAAAAAATAATTGAGCTGAACTACACCGTTTCCTTGAAAAGGATGCGGGGAATGAAGTTATATGAAGTGAAACATCTATTTTGGCAGGCTAGAAGGGAAAAGATCAGCGAGAGGATGAAGATTCTTCAAGATTGGTCCCTCGATGTGACAAGGCAACGATAGTTATTTGTGGAATCTATGCTGGATTATTGCTTTGAATTATTTTTTCCTTATCATTTCTGTAACTAAATGATAATAAATATTAGTTGTCTTATCCCTTCATAGACTGTTTCCCTTATTGAATTTTCCCTTATTAAATGATAATAAATGTATTTGGTTGAATTTTCTTTTCCTGCAGCTAATTAGTAAAGCATTTGTCTTTTTCTGCGGTAAATTCGAGAATGTACATGAACCCCACTATTGAAGGGTTCCCTTCAAAAGGTGTAAGCCTGCTGACTTTAACCTATGATAAGCATATTTTCTTAAATGAAAGCCATTTCCAATAGCATACATGGGATTGATTTTAAGCATATCGTCTTTTAAGTTTAACACTGCAATTTTTCAGCCCTGGTTATAAATTGCCCTTTTCATTGTTCAATGCTTTGATTTTCATGTGTTGTTCGTGTTACATCATTTGTGAAAGTATACTCTTCTCATAACTGCTATTAAGATTGGTTTGCTTACTCAGATTTACTTTTATATTCTAGTATATATGCTACTCATGTATGATTCTTTGGCATGTGTTTTCACAATGAAATGCTGCAGATTTTACTTCTCTTTCATTTAACAATCTAATTTTCATTCACGATCTAACTTATGCATGACGCTGAACAAATTGTTCCAATTCAGAGCAAATGCTAACTTTCCTTTCACTAACAAGAGAGTAAATGTTATTTCTGAAATTGAAAAATTAATTCATTTGAGTATTTCTTGGAGACTCACTGCTTCTGGCCTCAAGTTGACTCACTGCAGTGGGAACCCCTTTTCGACTTGCCAATTTATATCGTCTGCATAACAATATAATCGATCTTCAGCTTCTTCAGCTGCTATTTAGTGACTATTACCAACATCGAATTGTTGTTGAGCCATCATGTTTTTCCTCTTCCGGACATAGAAGGAAGGCAGTAGATTCTTCAATCCCACACGTCCAAGGTATGATTTTCTCTTCTAGTGAAGCATTATTTTGGCTTGGGTTGGATGGCTTATTGTCAAGCACTATGGCAGTGCAAACTTTTGAAATGCCCTTTTTATTCCCCCTTAAAGTTATGATTAAGTGTATCCCTTTGATACTTGTGCGTATGAGATTGCACTCAAAAAAACTGACACCATCTTTCTAACAAGTTTAAACTTGTTACATTAATTGCAATCGCATGTGGGATTTCTGTCATATGTAGAATTTTATGATCCTGGGCTAAGAGCTGTTGGTAAAGCTGTCTCCTATTATTTTCTTCACTTTTATATTCTATGAGCTGACATGTTTTAATATAAAATTCACCTATTTGCAATTGCAGTGCCTTGTAAAAGGTTCTGAAGGCTGATGATGTTGATATAATAATGACCATTGCGACAGGAATGCCTTGGTTTTCTGGCGCGGAGCTTGCTAACTTGGTGAACATTGCCACTGTCAAGGCTGCGATGGATAGTGCTAACGTTGTGAGCATGACTAATTTGGAGAATGCGAAAGACAATTTTTATCGGAAGTGAGCGCAAGTCAGCTGTCATAACTAATTTTATGGAAACCAGACTAATTATTGAACAGGTTGAAATATTAGTTCATGGTTTAATGGTCAAACTGGGGATTTAACTAAATTAATATATTTAAATATAATAGAGAAGCTTATTTTTTTTTGGGGGGGGGTTTCAAAATCACTGTTGATTTTTTTTTGAGATGGTGATCACATATAATTTTAAAGGAAACAACAAATAAATTTGTTTGAAAAGATATGTAAATAAATATTTGGATAAATTTGGATGGAAAAAATGTTTACATGTAATTAAATAAGTTCAAATAATCAATTAAAAAAGAAACGAAAAGGGTGTGTTCTTGTTTTTGAGGTTGGTCATTAAGCATTTTTGATAGGTAAATTATAATCAAATTAAAATGATACATATGAAACAAAAGTATAGATAAATAGCTGGAAGAATGGAGATAAAAGAGATGTTCATATGTGAAAAAATAAGTTTAAGGTATAAACAAAGATGAGGAGGAAAAAAAAAAGCAGACCTGTTGAAAGGTTTGGCTAGTTCGCATATGTTATTGAGGAAAACAGTCCACATTGGTTGAGTGATGCAGAGTGAGGCATGCTCGTATCTATGTAATGAAAAGAACTGAAAGGGATAACAGTTAAGGAGTGCTATTGGGTGACAACTTGCATGAGATGTGGGCCCGAGGCATAGTATTTTACTTTTTTTCCCTTGAATTTGGCCATAATTTTCTTGTGTTCCCCCCCCCCCCCTCTCTCTCTCTGGTGTTTTGCCTTTTGCTTCTCCTGTCAGGTGTGATCTAACAAAATTAAAAAAATTAAAACGATATCATATTTGTAAATTGGGGGAGAAAATAAATGGTGAACCATTTGGATCACTTAAATCGCTCGTTCTCCTAATGTACTTTAAATCGCTGGTTCTCCCAATTTACTTTAGTTTATGGCCAGTTTGCAAGTAGTTTTCTCTTCCAATTAGATAGTAGTTTTAAATTGGGCTACCTGACCAATTGATCGTTTTGATTTTTGATAGCCTTGGTCATAACTGAGAAATCTAGAAAGTTGACTGCTTTCCATGAGGGTGATCATGCTCTTGTGGCTATTCATACTAATGAGCTAATTTATATTTTGAACTTTCTATGTGCTCCTTTATATTTTGTTTGAATCTGTGATACTAGTTTGAACATTATAATTATAATTAATGCATAATTGAATTTTTGTATATTATTGTGATTATGAATTGTAATTACAAATTTGAATAATGATTAGTTATGTGGCTATAAAGAAACCAAAATGTCAAAAAATTACAAATTGGTGAGGGGTTATTTTCATTTTAATGAGGGATTATATCCCTCACTAAATTTACAGTTAAAAAATGTACAATGATCCTAAATTATAAATTGAAAAAAAAATTAATGAATATTTTATTTAAATAAGTTTTATAGCAATTAAAAAGGGGTCGTTTATAAGAAATTATGTTAGAAATTTTTACAAGGACCTAGAGTCCAAATTTTTTAAGCAGAAGTTTAGTTTTAAAATATAAAAAAAAGTTGTGTCTTTTCTTGTGTCTTTTATTGTGATTTTCTTGTACTCTTTTTTATAATTTTTCCCATTACTTCTATTATTCTGATTTAGTTTGCTCACGCAGAAAAAAAAAAAAACAACACAGAGCATCGTGATTTTTTTTCCCACTGCCATTATGCACTTCTCTAAATCCTCATATAGTCAGTTTATTTCCCTAATCCTTACCAGCATACTTTGATCGCTGTCACCGTGAATTCGCGTGCTGCTGTTGCTCCTATTCCACATACTCGTCCTCGTCGCTCTCGTTTGTCAGCCACAGTGAAGCAGAGTTGCTGATTCGCTTTTCCTATCATTGGATGTTGTTTGTCCTGTGTTCTGAGCCATTTGTTCATCTTTGTTGTTTGGATTCTTTGACAACTTCTTCCCCATTTCTGCTCTGCTTTTGTGGCAAATGAAGTTGTGTGCACGCTTGCTTATTGTTTTTCTCTCTTTTTCTTCTTCCTCAGCTGTTGAAAAGTTTGTGTTTGTGTATGGTAGATCAACTATATGTGTTGGTTGGATTTTGGTCTCTTTCCTTCTTTGGCATGTGAAAGCTTGAAGTTATTCTTTGTTTCTTCTTTACCGTATCTCTTGTTTTCTGTTCAGGTTTGACTTCCGTGTGCATGTATATGTGTGTATTTAGTTTCACTTATTTTTGTTTTTCAAGAGCTAAGCATCTTGCACATGTGTATGTAAACTTAAATCTTTTCCTTTTTTGGCCACGATAGATGGTCTTCTTCCTTGTCATTTGAGCTACAGAACAGAGTACTTTTTTTTCATCTCTTTCTTTCTTCTTCAGCGTCAACCACATAATGGTTTTAAGCTGTCACCGCTACCACTAAACTTTGGGTTGAAGTACATCATTAATTATCTCTTCTCCCTCTCCCTCTTCAAGTGCAATATTAGCATTTAAAAAAAATCTCTTCCTTTTCCAGTCGGTGGATGAAGTCTTGTTCTATATTCTTGGTGTGCTACTGATTAAAGTGTTGCTTTTGATTGGGGCTGGAAATCTTTTGATTATGTTGAGTTGAAATATAATTAAAATAAATAAGTATATATATAAAAATAAATAGAAGTTTGAAAATTGTTGGAATTTTTGGGTTATTCATTTCATAATTTTTTTTAATAATAAATGTATGAGCTCAAGGTAATTGTAAAAATGTATGAGAAAAGAATTTGGTGAATTATGATTTGATAAGCTTCTATATTATAGTTTAAAGGAGTAAATGTAAGCTTTGGTTTAAGTTATTAATTAAAAATTTTAAAAATTACCAAAGTGAGGAGAAAGAATTACATGGAATGCTTGTCTTATTTTTAGTCTAGAGGAAGCTTAAAAATGATTGATATGATTTATAATGATTTGTGAATAAGTATAGGTCATGAGGAAGTACAAAGATAAATTGAGAGCTGTTAAATGATTTGACTAACTCAAGTGTACTTGGAATGTAACTGGTTATAATGGTGCTAGTATTTGATTAGATTAAATATATATATTAATACCCATTAAATGCTTAGATGTTTTCATATGAACAATTTTAAAATTTTGACTTACTTGTCAGGATATTAAGGACATCATTAGAATAGAGGTCAAAAATTAAGAGCAACAAGTTTTAGAATCCTTGGAAATCATTCAGGTGAATAGGTAGCATTTTGAATGAATTTCAAACAATTGTTTATAAAAACTCCTTTACTTAAATTTTAATACTATTTCTTTATTAGTTATATAAACATTCTTGACAATTTTTTTTTTAATAATTATTTTATTAATGATGATATCTTAATTTTACTAATGATTTATGTTATTGATAAGTAATAATTAAAGTTAATGTACAACAAACGGTGTTACTTTTCAAAAACAACTTAATTGTTTAACTTTTTGTTTGACATGCAAACTTTTAATATATCAACTCGTGCATGAAGGAAATGACAATGAATATGGGAATGAAAAGAATCACATATTTTGAAATAAAAATTTTAAAATTGTTTTTCAACCCTATGCACGCTTGATTTTAATTAAGAGAATTGAGTTTAGAATGCTGGATGCTAATGATAGTTTCGTTAGCCCTCGGCATGCCATGGAACATCTAACTAGCAGGGTGTTTATAGGAGGTGCTATCCCCGTGCGAAGGCCATCTCATGTGGATCGGAGCGATGGTATTCATGAGCACTGCACTTACATTTGTTTTCTTAGGCTTCATGCCTGTGCTTGTTTTGTAGCTTCCAACCGTGCTTGATTGGTTACTTACCTCCTGGACTGTGTGTTCATACTTAATTGACTATTTACCCTCGTAGATTGTGTGTCCACTTTTATTATTCATTCTGATAAAGCCCTCTTAAAGTTAAATTAAAATCTATCATTTCTTTTGTAATTCCCTAAAAATACTTTATCGAACTGCACTATTATTAAAAATTTTTATATTTTATGAGCAATAAAAATTTTAATACATACATGTGATTCTACTAGCATTGTTTAATTTCACAATTATATTATTAAAAAAAATCATTATTTATTTCTAGTTTATGGATAATTCATTATTTCACTAAGTCATTTGAAGTAAATTTATTATTTATTATCTTCATTTTTATTAATTTTTTTATTTTAAATGCTACTCACTGGTAATTTTTTTGGTTTCAAATATTATAATTGACCATGTGCCTCCAACTGACCATTGAGGGTCTTTCTTACTTTTTAGAAAGAGGAAGCACATGGTAATTATTTTTTTTTTTTTGTGAAATCTTGTATATGTATTTTATAAATTATAAGTTATTGCTTTATGTATACCACAGTTAGTTCTTAATTTTATTTTTTTATTATGTAAATAGTTGAAAAGGAGCTAGTCTCCTTACTGGTTGGGTTGACAAGTTTGTTGATGTGAAAATTTTGGGAGGTCTAAATTGTAGGGAAAACTCTGTCGAAATTTCTACAAAACATTTAAACATTTACAAATTTTATTATTAATGTATATAACTTACATCTATTAATATTTTAGTTAAATTATGGTTAATCAAGGCTTATGGAATATGAGTTCACCTCATATTTCATTCTAATCATACCCTTAATGTTAGGGTGTGACAGAGACTCACTAAATTTAGTGAGAGACTAATATTCCCTCTCTATTTTATCAAAAAATTTAGCAAGGACTGTAGTCTCTTCTTATTTTAAAGCCAAGGATAAATCCCTCACTATTTCCTTGCCATATGTATCCTTTTTTGGCACATTTAATAAAGGATGCATCCCTCACTACAAATTAGCAAGGGATTATAGTCCTAGCTAAATAAAGAGGGAACTCTTATTAAATTTAGCAAGCTTTTTTTTTTTACAACGAATCTAGTGAGGGATGAAATCCCTCATTAAAACATACTTTAGTGAGGCAAAATGACATTTAATGAGGAATTTGTCCTTCATTGAATTCAATTTTTCAATAGTGAAAGTCACAACTTTGGTCATGATTTTGCTCTAGTTTTTGCATTTCTTCCATTTAGCATGATTAATCATCTTTGCATCTGATTAATATCTTCCAAATCATCACTTAATGTCCAAAAATGCCCCTAACATAGCCTTAATTTTGCAAAAACATGCCCCAT